AGGGCTGGGCCAACACCACAGCACTGCTCACCTCGGCCGGCGCTGCAGAGGGTGTTTGTGCCACGTCGGCCAGGGTGCAGCCAGGGACTGTGGTGGGGGGCAACTCGCCCTGTGCAGCCGGCTGCAGCTCCACGCTGCCTTTGGCTTCCCTATCCCTCACAGGAGGAGCCCCTGCGTCCTGCCCGGCCGCTCTCATCTGCCCCTGTGCTGTTCCCGGGGCGCTGAGGACAGGGGACAATGCCTGAGAGCTCTCGCTGCCCCAAAGGCTCCTGGGCAGAGGCGCATTGCACTTCTTGCAGCAGCGCTCCGGGGGGATTTTGGGGAACCGATGGGTTCTCTGCCAGACGTAGACGGTTTCCCCAGCCAGGACCAGCTCAAAGCCCATCCCCAGTTCCAGCTGGAGCTCCTCCTGGTGCACCAGCAGGTCCACGCTGTGGAGGATGGCGGCCAGCGTGGGCAGGTCCCGCTCTGGCAGGGGCTCGCTGTGGTGCGGGCAGCTGCCGGTGAGGCACCGCCGGCACTCCAGGCAGGTGGCATATTCTTTGCGGATGTCTTGGGAAACGCTTGGAGTGCGGATGTCTTGGGAAACGCTTGGAGCGCCGCTATCCCGAGACTCCTTCAGTTTTCCCAGGAGGTCGCGGCAGACTCGGGTCACGCCCAGGGAGCCCATGAGGGACGTGGCCAGCTCCTCCAGGTCGCTGCTGTGGGAGGAGGAGGGCTGGTTCCTGAGGAGCTCCGAGCTGGTGGCAGCACCGACGTTCCCGTCTCGCCCCACGTCTCCCGTCCTGTGGGGGAGCTCCCTTGCAGAAGCCGCGTCCCCGCCGACGCCGCTTTCCCACCCTTCTCCTTCGTGGCGCTTCCTCCAGCTGTGGGGGGAGATACCGGCTGGAGTGTGGGGCTGCTGTGGGGCAGCCCGGACCCAGCACCCTCTCCCTGTCTTCTCCCGCCCGCCTGGGTGATCCTGCCGGCCCTGCCGGCTCTGGGGTGCTCCGGGTGATGGGGGGGTCGTGGGGACACGGGGCAAGGCCAGCCCAGCAGCACGAGGGGCACAGCGAGGGGCCGGGCACCTTCCAGCCCCGGCAGAGAAGGGCCAGGCCAGGGGCTGAGGACAGAGAGGGGTGCTGGGGCCACCGGTGGGCTCTGTGGGAGGGGCCTGGTGCTGGGAAGCTGCCACCCCCCGAGGGATGCCCTGGCCCTCCCCAAGCCAGCCCCCGCTTCCCTCGGCGCCCAACCTCAGGGGCTCAGGGCCAGATCCTGCTCTCGCCCCCCTGCAGCCTCCCCAGGGCAAGGGCGCAGCTACACGGGGCAGAGGGACCCCCGAGAGGGGCTCCTGGAGGACTCACCTTGCCGTCTGGCTCTCGGTGGCCCCTTCCACGGCTTCGCAGGGGACGGAGGTGGCTCCTGGCAGAGGGAGGGAGAAAGCAGAGGGACAGTGAGCGAGGGCAGGCGGCGCGGGGGCTCTGCCGCAATGGCGTCCCTCAGCCGGGAGCCGCTGTGGAGCCCGGCGCAGCTCTGGGCCGGGGTTGCTCACCTATCGGGTCCTTCCTCCCGTCTCTCCGACAGCTCTTCTCCTCTGCAGAGCTCCCCTGTGCCTAGAGCACAAGCCCCGCGTTAGTTAGTGCAGGGGGTCTCCCCTGGGCCAGGAGGAGCCCTGCCCAGCAAACGAGGACCCCGGGAAGGGGCAGCTGGAGCTCCGGGGGCAGGACTGGCCCCGGCCCCAAGCCTGGGCTGGGGCCTGAGCAGAGGGGGCTCGGTGGCTCCCGAGCAGGGGCCGTGCTGGGTGGGCAACGGCCACTGGTCACTGCTCGTCCCCCGCTTACGGGGCCTTCCGAGCACCCCGGGGACGGGCTCTGCCCGGGGCTAAGCCCTGCCCAGGGGGTGTCGGGGGGTGCCATGACCAACACCTACCTTGGCCTTGGCCTTGCTCCTGGGCCAGCAGGCTGCGAGGAGGCCCAGGGTGAGGACAGATAACAAATTGGGGGCGCAGGGCAGCACCACCATGAAGAGGCCCCACACGGAGAGGCTGGAGATGAAGATGAGGACAATCAGCTTCCACTCCTCCATCTGGCGCAGAGCGCGGCAGCATCTCCTCCAGAAGTTCTGGTGATAAGGGGGCGTGAAAGGGGTCAGCTGGGGAGGCCGAGGAACGCGGCGAGAGGCCCCGAGGGGAGGAGAGGTTGGGGTGAGGCCGAAGCACCCCGCTACTACCGGCTTGTTGTGTCTTCTCTCCGTCTTTGAGACGTTGTCCATCGCCTGGTCCATCTGCTCTCCTGCTCGCTGGCTCCCACGCAGTCGAAGTGACAGCTGAGCCTCCCTGCCACCCGCTGAAACAGGGGCCACACTGTGATGCAATGATGACATCGCGCTGGCACACAGTGGTTGCCATGGTGGCCCAGGGCTGCGCTGGAGATTCTGAAGCCATCAGGGCGTGGCCGCCCCAGGAAAGCCCCTGTGGTCTCCAAAAGTTCCTGCTGACTCAAACCGCTCTGGGCTGGCAGGGTTCGGGAGAACTCCCTAAGTGCCATCACAGGCAACACAGAGTCACCGTGAGGAAGATTAACGGCATTTATTGCCAGTTACCATTAAAGGAGGCGAATAAGAGTGAGCAACCAAAGTGAAACCGCGTGCCCTGGGGAAGGCCATCGGCATCAGCGGCGATGAGGGGCTGGGCCGGGTGGGCCGGCGCTCTCCTCTGCTGCTCCTTTTCTCTGTCCAGGCCGTGTCAGGGGCCCTTCAGCCCCCCCTAGAAGGGCAGTGGCCACGGGGGCAGCTCTGACCGCCCCGCCGAGGGACGCGCAGTCTCGGGACCGGCGCCAGCCTCCAGACCTTGGCTCTGGTCCCGGAGCCACGAGTGGCACCGGCAGCGGGGGGCAAAGGCTCTGAAGCTAATGACACACCAACTGAGAAGGAGATACTGGCAGCGTACGAAGGAGATCGGGCTGCCTCAGCAGTGGTCGGCACTGAAACACAGCTCCTCCTGGCACCCCGACTGCCGGTGCTGGGGTGGGTGTTCAAAGGAAAAGCCTCCTCCACGCATCATGCAACCGATGCCACGTGGAGTAAATGGGTTGCGTTGATAACACAACGGGCTCGAATAGGGAACCCCAGCCGCCCAGGGATACTAGAGGTGATCACGAACTGGCCAGAGAGCAGAGATTCCGGGATGTCACCAGAGCAGGAGGTGACACGTGCTAAGGAGGCCCCACCATATAACGAGCTGCCGGATGAGGAGAAGCGATATGCCCTGTTCACTGAGGGGTCTTGTCGCAGCGTGGGAAAACATCGCCGGTGGAAGGCTGCTGTGTGCAGTCCCACACGACGGGTCACAGAAGCTGCTGAGGGACGGCGTGAATCGAGCCGGTTCGCAGAGGTGAAAGCCGTCCGGCTTGCTTTGGATATTGCTGAGCAGGAAAAGTGGCCGAGGCTCTACCTCTGCACCGACTCGCGGGCAGTGGCGAATACCCTGTGGAAATGGATGCAGCGATGGAAGCAGAACAACTGGCAACGTAAGGGTAAAACCGTCCGGGCTGCTGAAATATGGCAGGACATTGCAGCCCGTGTGGAAAACCTCGTGAAGGTGTGTGGTGGTTTAAGCCCGGCCGGGACCGGAGACCGTGCCACTGTTGCCCCTCCCCAACCCTCAGCCAGTCAGGCTGGAAGTGAGGCACAAACCCCGGGTTAAGATAATAAATACGAGAGTGTGATAAACAATCAGAACAACAACAGTAGCAATGATAACAGTAAAGAGTAATAACAGTAAACAAAAGATATACAGAGAAATACCGTAATGGATACAGACAGCCCCGTGCTTCCCGCAACCAAAACCACAAGGAAGAAAGTTCCCGCGCTGCCGCGCCCGGACCTGACTCAGCATGGTATGAATAACCCGCCTGGAGATCCCTTCCCCCTCTCTTTCTTAACCCTCTCCCAGCTGAACCAGGACAGTCGCCTGTAATTTCTACATTGTTTCCAGCTGTTGCACGTGCTGTCTCCAGGCTGCCCGCTGCAATCACGGATTATTTTGCCTCGGGGACTTGCGGGAGCACCTGCAGCAGCACTGCCAGTCCCGTTTCCACCAGGTGCTGACACGCCTGCAGAGCTTGGCACGGGACTCCCGCAGCCCACGGCCCCACTTGCACAGCCCCCGGGCCACCCGGGCACGCATCCTACCCATGGCTACCCACTGCCAGGGACTGGCCTCTGCTGGGCTGCTCCTGTCTATCTCCAGGGATTCCATGTTTGGAATCCTCTCCTCTCCATGCTCAGCCTTGTCGGTGTCCATGTACAGCACAGGCAGCCCTACTGCTTTGACGTTGAGCCATATTGTGGAGAAAATCATCCCCAGGTAGGTGTGGTGACTGTTGGGGTCCAGCTCCACATCCCTGGGTGTCTGCGCATTGTAGCCCTCATTGCCAGGGACATTCTCTTGACTGGTCCCTCTTGACTGCTGCAGTGGGGAGCCCAGGGC